AAGATAAATCGCCAAGACAAGCAAGAGCAAGCAGTGCAGATTTCGCAGACACAAGCCTTACAGACCATAGTTAATTCAAGGGCGGTAGGTCGAGGAAAAGAAAATTGGAAAGGCAAACTAAGATCTGGAAGATCGAGATCTGACAGATTGGAGGAAAGTTCAGCCATTGGAATTCAAAAGAGGTGGCAGAATAGAAATTATCAAGCTGCAAATAACAGATCCAAATCTGTAGGAAAGGCAAATATTGAATGCTTTAGATGTCATAAGTATGGCCATTATCGTTCTGAATGCCATGCTAATTTGAATAGAGGAGAAAGTTCCAATTTTGCAGAACACAATGAGAAGAATGACGATTCCTCTCTATTCATGGTCTGTCATCCTAAAAAAGTCAGCAAGAAAAATGTGTGGTATCTGGATACTGGTTGCAGCAACCACATGTGTGGAGACAAATCTGTGTTTTCATATTTGGATGAGTCTTGTCAAGACAAGGTGAAATTTGGTGATAATTCCACTATTACAGCCAAGGGAAAGGGAAAGGTAACCATTTGTGCCAAAGACAATTCAATTTAAACTATTTCTAATGTTCTGTATGTACCAGATTTGAAGTCGAATCTGCTTAGTCTGGGATAGTTTTAGGAAAAAGGATATGCAATCCTTATTAAAGATGGAGTTTTCCAAATTCATGATTCAAAACTTGGCCTGATTGCAAAGGTCAAGATGACGGGAAATAGGTTGTTTCCATTATACTTGCCGACCACAAATTTGTCATGTTTATCTGCCAAATTAAAGGACACAGCTTGGTTATAGCATTGCCGATTTGGACATCTTTATTTTGGTGGGTTGAAAGCTTTGCAGCAGAAGAAGATGGTAAATGGTCTTCCTCATTTTGATTTTCCTTTAAAAATTTGTGAAATCTGCGTGGTCAGTAAACAGCACCATGACAGCTTTCCTAAAGACAGATCTTGGAGAGCAAAGCAAGTGCTAAATCTGGTTCATTTTGATCTGTGTGGACCCATAAATCCAACATCCAATGGAGGTAAACAATACTTTATTACCTTTGTTGATGATTACAGTCGCAA